ATATTTCTTAAGCTTTATTTATTCTTGTTAATTCTATGATAAAACTATCAAATGTTTTTTGATGGATTTAACGAAATAATATTTTAGACAAATGGAAAACATATAAATGCTGTATTGAGATGATGATTGTCGTTTCAATGAACTAAATAGTTTAATAAAAGATGTTGAACAAATTAATGGCAGATGAACCTATTTTATTTCAACAATAACATATGAAATGACCAAATTAAAAGAAATTGAAAATTATAATGATATTTAAAAATTTTATGAAAATATATGTTATTGAAAGAATTTACAAAAATGTGAAATAAAGTTTATTTGCTAAAGAAAATAGTATAAAATGATTAATTGTTAATAAATAAATTAATATAAGTAAGTAATATTAGAATATTTATAAACGAATGAAATGAACTGAAAGTGTGTGAGAGATGAAAATTAGAATTTAAATATAATCAAAAATGGAAAAGAAAAATGGATTGTGATGATTTATTAAATCTGTAAGAAAGTGATAATTTATCTAATCAGTTAGTGATATGATTTAATATAATAATTTACATGTCAATTTCTTATAAAAAATTTCAAATTAAATCCATTTATCTTTCATTAATTTGCAATTAAATTTGAGCAATAATATTTAAAATGAATCTTTAAATTGACAGTCAAATATTTTTTCGTTTGTTAATTATCATTTTCATTTTAATTGTAATTTTACATTAAAAATTTCTATTTCTTCAAGAATTTTAGAATTGAACCTTTTAAAATTCTTTAACTATCATTGCTCATAAGATTTAAAAATAGTAGACCAAGGAACCGGAATAGTATGTTTGATAATATTTTAAATTGCTCATGACAGTTCCCTAAAAATGAATAATAATGTATCTGCAAGGAAAATGATGGATTGCTTATATTGTTAATAGATTATCTAATATATTATTGATAACATATTAACAGTAATAAATATCAACAATGTTTATTTCTTGCTGGTATTCATTTCTGTTAATAATATATTAGATAATCTATTAAAAATATTAGGTAATTAATAATATCCCTTATTAATATATTAGATGATTAATAATATTGTCGTCATTCATTTATTGCAAAATTTCTATTTAAAATAAAATAATTCATTGTAATTTGCTTCTGTGATGAAAAATTCGAAATTTAAATGAGAAAGTTAATGGTACCATAACTAATTGAATAAGTAATTTTGAATATTTTTTGTTTTATATCAATGATATTAGAAGAAATTGCATGATAAATCAGATTTGATAATTTTGCAACACCAATAGCTTGCTATTCTTGTTTCATCCTTCTCTCTTTACCTCTCTCTCTCTCTCTCTCTCTTTTTCCAATTTTTTATTTTTACACTGTAAACAAATTTTGAGGAATTTCTTTGTCGCAATTATCATCAATTCATTCTTCATTAATCATTTTCAAATTTCTTATTTTAAATGATGTTCGATATGAGAATCGAAATTTCCAATACTTTCGTTTGTCATCTTTCTCTTCAATCAACTAACATCAATAAAAAACTATTTCGTTGTAAAATGCATGACTGAAATGAAGAAATGCCATTGAATGCATTATTTATTTAAAGATAAAAGTTTACTATTTAAAACAAATTATTCAAAATGCTAGCAAATCAATTGTTTTAACAATATTTGTAATTAGAATTTAGATTAAAATAGTTAATTGGGTCAGTAAAATAATTTAGAATTAATGAGCACAAACTTTTGTACGTTTTATGTATGCATGATTTGTAAATTACTTCTTACTTTTTACTTCAAATTTATGAAATATCATTATTATTATTGTTATTATTATTATTTAATATTATTAATATTATTATTATTAATCAATATTATTATTATTAGTGCTATCATTATTAAATTGATGTCTAATAACAAAATATGAAATCATACATATATTCCAATCATATTTCATTTATTGATTTTAATTATTTATAAAAAAAAAGGAAAAATTATTGGATAGAAAATCTATTAACAGTAATAAAAAAAGCATAAATGAAATATCTGTCAGACGAAAAAGAAAAGACATGAAAGGGTCATTGTCCATTTGAAAGACACGAAAGGGTCATTGTCCATTTGTAAGATATGAAAGGGTCATTGTCTATTTGATTTCATAAAATATTTAATAGTTTATAAAAGATAAAAATTACAAGCAAACAATTAATATATTTATTCAACTGCCATAATAAAATATTATTTTTGTTAAACAAAGGAATAAAAAGATTTAAGAAATGAAAAAGTAAGCAATTCCTTTTTTACTATTCCATTTCCATTCGTTTTATTCCTTTTGTTTTCATTATGAAAACAAATGATTTTGAACAATTATTAATAGCATATTTCAACACTGAGAAGTTTGGATGAAAAAAACGACGAAGAAAAACTTTCAACCAGCTGGTATATGAAGAAGAAAAACTTTCAACCAGCTCGTATATGAAGAAGAAAAACTTTCAACCAGCTCGTATATTAAAAATGAATTCATTCTTTAAAACATTTCAAAAACATTCACTTTTACTTCATTCCATTCCAATAATATATTTTCATTGTATTTGAAATGTTAGCGTTGTATCAAAGAAAAATTCTAAAGAAAATTTTTTGTTAAATTTAAATATATAATATTTAATATTAATAGTAACTAACTGTAAGAAAAAACTAAACAGTTCCTAAATTCTTTTTTTTAATTTAAATTAAATTTCAAAATTTTAAATTCATCATTATTTAAATGATGCTAATTCACTTGAATTTTCGTGAATTTATGAATCTGATCGCATTTCCATTCATTCCAAAAATTTCTATTAGTTTTACTTTTTAAACAAATAAAGAATGTGCGTTAAAAGTACAGGTTGGAACAGTAAGAGTGAGGAATAATGAAATATTAGTAATTAAATTGACTACAATATGAGAAGTAATGTTTTGCAACTAATAAAGATTTTTTATGAGTCATATTTTAGAAAATTTTAATTTATCAATTTTGTTTTTATTTTACTGACTGCTACGTTACAAAATTTCTCAAACATAAATCATTTCACATCGATAAGTTGCAATTAATCTCACATCACAGCATTTCAAGACCTTTTCGCTTAGATTTCATTTTAATCGAGTATCATTGCAAAATAATTGTAAAATAACAAATTATGTAAAATATAATTCGAAAACGAAACTAAGCAAGGAAAAACTCCCACAACTAAATGAATAATATCAAAATCGGTCTCATGGGAAAGCTTTGTTGCAAAAAGACTCGAAGTTTCGCTGCATGATTCTGATCACTTTAGCTTTCACGGATTGAAAAGTAATTTTAATTGGTGCCAAGGACTTTTGTCTTATCTGGCTTTATTTACTGCTGTTTTCATTTGTTTTGGTGGTGTTTTCGAAGTTATGTCGTAAAATTATATGATGTTGTTACCATACCTACGTTATTATCCTGAAAATACTGCGACATTTTAAATATTTAATTTAGAAAAATATAAGATATTAACCTTCTGCTGCATTTAAATGTTAATCTGCACCAATCACAACAACAACAATAATAATACTGCTTTAGCTATTTCATTGTCATCAGTTTTTTATCTTACTGATTTTTTCGTATTATGTGATCGAATATGATATATTCGCTCACATAATAATGAGCGATATACGTAAGCGTATATCGAATATGATATCGAATGTATCGAATATTATATCGTATATCGCTTACATATATCGCTCATTATATCGAATATGAGCGATATACGCTTACGTATTGATGAGCTTTTGAACTTTGAAAAATTGCAAATATGTCAAAACATTTTAGGATATGCATATATGATAACAGCATTACGATTTACAGAAAGAGTATGTGTGTATGCACTAAGATTCGTTAGATCAATTCTTTATTTGTCTCCTTTCTTCACTTCATTCAATTGTTTCTTATATTGCTTGCTGTCTGCTTGTTTTGTTTTGTATACATTATATATCCGATATTATTTTTGTTAACTTCATCCGTTCTGACACTTCTTTGTCTCGTTCTTAATAAGTGCTATATGCATCGGCATAAATTCATACATGCTATATCTGTTTGGTTTTATCAAGCATCCAACATTTTTTGAACCCTATGCTGCACAGACTTTCAATCTATCATTCTATTTCATTCCCCTTTGCTTAAGCTTTTTTCCTTTTTCTTCTTTCATTCACCTCAGTATATATAGTCTATATATATTCTTTCCCATTCTGTTACTTCAATATCTTATTCTAATACATTTTTGTTGAGGAAAATTGTGAAAATTAGCATTTGTTAAACCTAAATTATGTTCTTCTTCATTCCTTTCAGTCAAATTAGACAAAACTCCTCAGGAAGCATAAAGATAATTTAAAAAAAAAATATTTTTGATTAAAACAAACAATAAACGAAGAAATGAATGATATAAAAGTGTTGGCAAAAGTGACAAATGAATTAGCATATAATGATTTATTTGCGTGAAATAATTTGATATTAAAACCGAATCATTCGTGGTGATTCATCAAAATCATCTATCATTTGTGAAAGAAAAACAAAGTGAATCATTCATGGGCTTAGATATTCTCAATTTCTGTTTTACTGTGGTTCTAGTTTAAATATCGTACTTTCCTAAAAGTATGGCTCTTCCATTCAGAATAAATATAAAAAGATGACAGTCTGACAAGAAGGATGAAATTTTATGAATGATATTATGAGCGTATTGAAATAATTTAAAATCATACACTGATTCATATTATCCCACTATATCTAAATCATTCAGATAATTTGGATATAATGTAGTAGGTATTGGATTTTTAACAAAAATACAATGGTTTTGCTTGAAATCATTACTTGCTTCGTTTGATTCGTTCGTAATGAATTTTATGCTGTTTAGCTATTTGTTTGGAACTTAATTTCAGAAACACGAAAATAAAATGTTTTCTTTTCCTTCTGGTTGATTTCATATTTTATCACTGTATACAAATGAAAGAATATGGGACATGGATGAAAATCAAACACAATGTTGTTCATATTCACGAAATGGCAACTGTTTATCGTACAACAAACGAATTATCTTTGTGCGACGTCCAGGTGGATTTTCCTATAGCAAAGAGTAAAATATCGTATCTGTTAGTTATCACTGATCAAGATAAGATGGAAAGATAAGTAACAACAATTTACTGTTATCTTCTAGGAGCAAATAATTTTCCGTCTGCGGATTGTTTTCGATGCGAAGATTGCCTCGCGCCAAATCGATTAGATGTCAGAAATGGACAATGTATTGTGCGAACATTGTATCTCTCAGTGGATCCAGCACAGGTCTATTAATGTAGCTTAAGTTTTGAATGTAATTATTGATGAAGTCGTTAAAAATGAGTCTAACATTGTTTGCAAATCCTGAGGTAGGCATTTGTTGCAGGAATAATAGCGCATATGTTAACCTGTACTAACGCATATGTAAAGCTGGAATTTGCAGTATACCATAGGTAAAGATGCTATTATGATATAACTTCGAATAATCCGCTGAATTTTGAAATCTTCTTTCTCTATTTAAGCCATTGTCTTCATTTCCGTTCAATTTTTAGCGGTGCCGAATGAACAAATCAACAGGTGTTGATTACTTAGCGCCATATGAAATAGGTGAATTAGTTGACGGTTTGGAAGGAATTGGAATTATCGAAATGGTATCGCCAAAGTAAGTTTTTGCACCTGTGTCTCGGTGAAATTAGAGGGACGGTTTCACTCTCGGTTGATCAGCGGTGCATATTTTAAGCGTTATTCGTCTTCGGAATTATTTGGAAAGCCTTATTTCATTTGAAAATAAGCAATTAATCTGCAAATTTGAGACTGAATCATGAAGGAGTAGTTGTGATATCCTAAGTGTACGATACAATTCATTTATTTAAGAGATGTCACAATGTATGTCGGAACATGGATCCATAATTTTCTTGATTATCATGATAATTTTAGCGGTGCCTTCAAAGTTGGAGATTTGGTAACAAGTATTGGACGGTTATGGCCATGGAGTAGGTTGTTTGTTGCTGATCAAGTTGATCTTGTAAGGGTAGGTGACTACATGTCCTTCAAAATTTCGGAATTGATTTAAAATCCTGAAACTTTTTGAACATTTACATTTCGCAGTTAAAGTATTTTTAAACTTTCTTGTGTAAGTACTTTCATAGTACGTGGAAAAGAAAAAGAAAGGATATGGTTATTCATTGTCAAACACCATTTTTTTGCTGCGTTTGTTCTAGCAATTCAATATATTTCTCATCGAAAATATTCCTCAAATTTTCTATGAAATCTGATGACTATTATATATTTAAGCACTATTGTAGAAGTCAAAGTAGAAAAAAAAGAGTACGCTAGTCTGGTCTTGTTCATACTGAACTAGATTTACTACAACTCATGATAATCAGGTAGTTTCCAGGTCACTTTACCGCCTGGTTTTTCTCCGTCAGTCATACCGAGCTGTGTGGGTTTGTCTGGTCTAACAGCTCTTCTTGGTATTCAAAAAAAAGCTGAAATTGATCCGACACGACCGCAAACATTTGTCGTTTCTGGAGCAGCCGGCTCATGTGGTTCATTAGCTGGACAGGTTTATCCATTTTATTCAGCTTTTTTTTCTGTATAAGTGTTCACTATTCATCTCATTGACAGTTTAGTAAGAAAGATAGATTAAAACAGCTATTTAGTCGATGGCATGATACTTGTCTTTCAGAGATTGATATACTCGGTTATTTCTATATGGCCAAAGTTGTTGCGCCATTAGGACGGAATTGTTTGTAATGAATTTTCGACCATTCTTTAATATTGTTTTGTTCATTGGTGAATTGTTTTACTGGGATTTTCACTTATTTTATATGATGTAGCTCATTATTTTTTTTTCGTTTTTTTAACCAGAAAAGCTTTACACTGAATAAAATGCTGTTACAGATTGCACGTTTATATGGTTGTACGAAAGTGATTGGCATTTGTGGTTCGGATCAGAAATGTGCTGTTTTGTTAAATGAGTGGAATTTCAATGGTGCAATTAATTATAAGCGCGAATCTGTTGCTGATCGTTTGCATAAACTTGCTCCGGAAGGTGTTGACATATATTTTGATAATGTTGGAGGCTTCGTGAGTGATGCTGTGATATCACTGGTAAGTTATAAACATTCTTCTTGTTGTCTTAAATAAATTTAATTCTTGTTCCCGTTATTTTGCCTGCATTTGATGCTAAGTCTTCTTCAGAAAGTGCCATTTGAGAGTCTTAAAGATTATTTATAATCTTAAGAGTTATTCGCGTTTCTTTTAACGTTAACTGCTGATATATTTTTCGGGAGTTTTTGGTCGTATCATTATTTCATTATAGTCATTAATTACTCTATACTGAATGAATGTGCAAGTTGGTGGTACCGTAATTTGGGAAATAAGTAGTTTCTATTATGTTGTTTTGCATAGAAATTGCAAGTATCTAGGATGTCTTTCGTCATTCAACTTGCTGAATGTACAAAACATACAAAGTAGAAAATATGCATGCACATACATATAAATTAACATACAAAGTAATTATTTTATAATTGTTTAAAAGAAGAAAAGCTTTCATCTTTAGTCTAAGGGAACTGATTTTGAACTGAGCACTATATACGTCGATATAGCAGTTATACTGGGACTATGAGAATGAATGTTTGTTGAGAAGGTTTTAATAAGAATATTAGATTAACGCTTTCTGTTTCAGGTACGTCATCTGTAATTTTTGTGTCATCTTTCAACTGTTCTTAGTAATACTTATTTCTAATATTTTTAGCAATGTAGCGCAATAATAACTCAACATCTGTGTATTTTGCTTCTTGGAATATGTGATACTTGTCTGTGTTCATTATTCAGTATTTGGTCCTAAATGCTAGCTTTCTTTTTGAGTCTTTCTTTGGTTAAAAATATTGTGCCTCATTCTGTATTTGAACATGCCATGTTCTTTTTGCAATTATTTTGCGGTTTTCATAATGCTTTATGAACTATTGAGTGTTGAAGGTTCTTTAAATCAAAAAAGTATTACATGTACTCATTATCGAGTTCACATAGTTTCCTATTGAAGATGAGCGAAGGTGGTCGTATTGTTTTATGTGGACAAATAGCTGTATATAACACGGACTTGCCGAATCCACCACCTCTTCCGGAGAAAACTGCTCAAATTATTGCTGAAAGAAAGATTAAGAGGTACTGAAGTTATTGTGGAAGACTTAGAAATTTCAGAAATATATTATTTTCATTGACTAAATCAATTTTTATAATTTGGAAGGGTTTTTGTAGGGAGAAGTTCGTCGTATTGCAATATAAAGATGATATCGATGCATCTGTGGCACAGCTTTCAGCATGGTTACAGGAGAAAAAATTAAAGGTATGTGGTTTTTCATTACAAAATAATAAACCAGAAATGGGGATGTTTCGCAAACTCACAGATTTTGATAAGCCAGTAATTTTTATATCTGCCAGTAGCAATTATCTACAATAGTTTAGCACATACTAATATCTTTTCACAGTTCCATACTCTTCCTCAATATCTTTCTCACAGTTATATTGATGCTGTCAAATTTATTTATACTTTCTTTCTCTAATGGGAATACTGTTGTTATTTACGACTAGACATATTTCGAGCAGGTTCGTGATACTTCTTATTTTTATTTCCATTGGCAGAATGAATTCGTTGCAGAGTAGAGAAACGATATATGAAGGTTTGGAGCGAGCACCGGAAGCAGTTGTAGATCTTTTAAATGGTCGCAATATTGGCAAAATGATTGTCAAAGTGGACGATTCATAACTGTACACAACATGATAGAAGTCATCTTACTTTCATATTTTTTTCTGTTGCACTTTGTCACCTCTCTATTTGTTTACTTTTGTTCTCCATTGATAGTATGTAATGAAGTCAGTTTGCATAACCTCAATTATTACGGAGTTATTTGGTACAAACATCGTTGTTATTATCTCTATAGCTTAGTGATAGTTACATTATAATCAAACTGATTGCTTGGATCTGAAGATGTTTCCTGATCTTTTCTTTGCTAACTTATACATTTACTTATTTTAAATTTCCAAGTCGAAGAAAATTTGTGTTAGCTATAATGTTAGTTATATGTTTTTATTTTGAATTTATAATGTTTCTAAGATAGTTAAATATTATCAATGTACCAAGCTGCTAAGCTTAGTATCGTGATGAGTAAGTCGAATATCTACTTAAACCCACTTAATTGATCCAAGAATTTTGTATTTACTGTTTGAGAGTTGTGCCGCGTTAAGGACGGATTTATTCAGTTTGTTTGAAAATTCTAATCTATTTATATACTGCAAATCGGTAAAGAGAGTATTGAAGTCATGTCGAAGTATGTGTCATTTCGGTTGGCTTCATTGAATTAATTTACTTTTAAGCATATGAATTCTTCATTTTTTTTGTTTACCGTGATAATAATGATTAATTTAAAGCTGGAATTCATTTAAAGACAAAAGATTTCATTAATTTGATGGATAGAAGCATAGAGTTGTTGTTAGCTTTATATTTACAATATGTTGAATCTTCAATAACAGTATTTTCAATTCGGTTATCTTTTGTTTTATTTCCATACGGAAATCTGCTTTACCAGTCATTACTTAATATGCTTGGTATCTTTTTCATCCCTTAGATCCCTTGAATGCAATAAAATTATCAATAATTCTATCATTTATTGCTGTTAATTACTAAAAGGTGTTAGTGTGATATCAGATAATGTTAGAGCAATCAGAGAGCATAACTCCTCCAAGCAAATGGCAGTTTTGTAGTATATTTTACAAGTTGGTATTAAGCTGAGAGCAGTAGTGTATTTTTGGTCATTTTCGAAATCATGAAAATTTTCTTTATGAATCTTTTTTCATTGAAGTAATTTTTGATGAGATTTTAAATGTCATATTTGATGTTTTGCCATAGTGACCATGTTTTATTAACTTTTTGTTGTCGCATTTTAGCGTTGTTTACTGCGTAAATATATTCGCTGGATAAATAAGCATAATATTTACTGCATAAATAAATTTATTGAAACATAATACTTACTGCATAAGTGAACATAGTATTCACCGCATAAATAAAATATATAGTTAAGACAATTTCTGTTTCTGTTTAATTATTGTTGTGTTGTGATTATTTATTTTCAGTATAAAGTTATAAATAAATGATTAAATTTTTACTTGCACCAGCAAAGGATGTATGCCATTGTATTTGACGTACACAATGCAAAATATTTGAAATATTTCATGCTACTGAACTGACTACATGCTACATATAAAGCCGTTGTTAGGATTGATAATTAGTAATTTATTTTCTCAAGCATACTGTTTGCAGTGTACCTAAATCTAGTATCATTTAGATGTAATGTGCATCTCCGGTCCGTAATATGGAGGTTCTAGATCCACGACATAGTGTAATCACAAATGCTGAAGTATTGCGACTGCTGCAAGGTAGGCGTAAGCAGCAAAATGAACTTTCAAAAGATCAACGGTCAAAGATTCTTGGAACGGTTATATATGAAGTATGTTTCCTTCTATTCATTTATCCGATTATTCTTGTGTTGAATTAATTGCCAATTATATTGACAGGATTTATCAGAATTAGGTATTCATTTCTACATATTTGTCAAATGAGCAACACTTCAGTAAAAATTTATATGGTGATTCTGTTTAGTGTAGAAGAATTACTGAAATAGTAATCGATCTACACATGGCCCTGATTCCCGTAGGTTTTTTATGGCATAAGATTAACTATCCCTACCAACTGATTTATAAATATTTGAGTAAATTAATTATAAAGATTAAAGTTTCTGTTGCAGACAAGTAAATATTTGCAAGAAACGCCAGCCGTCACGCAAAGTAATGTAGAAATTGAGAAATTTATCCGAGCAGTAGCGTCATTCAAGGTGCTCTTTATTTAATATGCTTATCACTTTATTTCTTAGATGAAAACGAACGATAACTGCGATTTCCTTGCTTATATTTGTAATTCAACTGTTAATTTCTCCATTTCTTCGATGTCCTATTTTAATATATATATCAAACAGTGTATAAGTTTTAGAATCATATTCCATTTCCAATAATATCCTGCTATTAAAATTTGTAAGTGCTTCAATTGTCAGTCTTGTACTTTGATAATTTATTTGCAGTTGACGGCGGTAGAAATCTTACAACTCATAAATTTGCGACCCGTAACTGCTGTTGAGGTAATTTCTCATCCTTTAGTTTATATTAACCCCGCTTATTCAAATATTCAAATAAATGAATTGGTAACTGCCATTCAGAAAAACCATTGAAAAAAACTCCAATTTTTATACCTCCTCTGTTTTTGTTATTCCAATCTTAATTTGATTATAACAGTAAGTATTTTAGGTCCAACTAATAGTGGAAGAATGTGAAGAACGATTAAATGAGGAACAAGTGGATTCTTTACTCGCTGTAAGTTTCACATTTGTGCTGCTCATTTCTAGTCACGATTTTGAGTAAGAAAGATGAGGAACATGTATACAACCAGAACATGCCTTTTTAGATAATTCAAGAAAACTTGTCGGAACCATTGCCCGATGATTCTAAAGTGAACAGCACCAATGGAAAGGAAAACGGATAACGAAATCATGGAATTTCAGGAAGTGAATGAGATTTAAATGAAAATCGAAAAAAAAAAACATTCATTAAATAGATTTGCAGTGAAGGAGTAGGGGGTGGAATCGATAAAAGCTTTAGGATTCGTAGATCAAAAAACTTTTTTATCATATTTTATTGGAAAAAGGACATAGTTTAGGTGCGCTATTAAGAAGGCTTTCCTTATGCGGTCACGGTGTATTTATTCAGTAGCGTATGAAGAACTCCTTGCTATTATCACTTAAGATAATTGAACTTGTGATTTTGCAAGTTGTATTGTCGCCCGATCATATGATATGAACGTCTTAATAACAATTTCTAGTTTTTATTTTTATTATTTACATGAATGCTTGCATCGATGAATTCGTCATCTTAATACATTCTTCCCATTGCTATTAACTTTTAGTAATTACATAATTCCACAAGCATCCTTTGGTAGTGGCCTTCCAACGCGATTACGTGTCAAACAAATTTTGGATTGTTGCGAAGATATAATTGCAGCTAAAACATCGTTGAAGAGATCTTCAATTCCTTCCTGGAAAAATTTAAATTCAAATTTAAACAATTTAAGCGCTCAATAATTCGAATTCTGGAGATTTGCTTAGAACAGAACAGGTGAAAACAGAAGTTCTTTCATTTCTTTTTTTAGTGTTTACTTTTGTAAAAATGAAAGGACTTCTGTTTTCACCTCTTCTGTTTGCATAAAATTAGATTTCAAAGCAATTTGATAATTTTCGAACTTTGGAAAAATTAGTTCTGAAAAATTGTAAACTTTTCATACATAGGTTTTAGTGGACACTTCACAATAATAGGAGGCTCTCAGTTCTGTAGCCAAACTTTGGCCGACTTTTGTTGTAATTAAGCTTTGGAACGTTCGTGGATCCTTAGCACTCGTTCTGGAAACCACAATATCCTTTAGATACAAGAAATTCATTTGTAAAATTGGAGAAAAAGAAGAAAAGAAATCCATTACTTTTTAAATTGATTCCTGGGTTTGTAGGGTGGTTTTGTCGTTGTATCTGAAAGAAAGATGAATAGGAAACTTTACTTATCAAATTTGCTTAAAAACCTTAGGGATACGAAAAGAACTGACCAATTTCAAGGTCACCGAGCTGTTTTCGCAATAGCAATTGGCGGACATCACGTGGTAGCCGTGCCTCGATCCCGGTTGCGCAAATAATGAAAGGTGTACTACGATATAGACGTCTTACGATTGGAACCCACTGAATGAGTAAAAAGGAAAGTTTAGAATCTGTTGAAGCGTAGACGTGGTTTCCGGAAATTACGCTAATTTCTTTCTTTTGAAGCTTGCCGATAATTCGTTAAACAACGTTATCTTGAAGTATTTTGAGTTTTTCAGCAAAATTACAGCGAATATCGTTACCTTCTGATGAATGCTTTCGAACTGTCGTAAGCTACTAATGTGATAAAAAATGATAATAGCATCAAGATGGCTGCAACGAATCATCGTTGGTATTCGTTTAAAATCATCAATTCGTTCAGCACACATTAATTCGAGCTAAAATTACTATACATTTAATAACTGGTCACTTTGGTCGTTCGCATTTGTCATTGTTTTTTAGAGTTCAAATTGAATTTATCGTAAGTCAGAATGGAGAAATTTTGAATTTTTAGGAATGTCAAATCATTCAATACAAAGAATTTCTCTGAAATGAATAATCATTTGATTAGGAACAAAGAGCTTCTTACGTAAATTCTGGAAAACTTTATTATTAAACTTCCGAATTCTGAATTTAATTGATATGCCTTTATGACGCATATTTCAGAATTTATTTTATATAATAACCTATTATTGGTGCATCGAGTTTTGTATGTGGTATAAAACAGAAATTTGAAGAAACCTGTTTCAGTTACTCACCTGAAATCCCTGAACGGTGACGACATTTGAATCGAGTACATCAATACGCTCAAAAATATTTTCTTTCTACAAATTCAGAATTTAATTGTTATAAAAGTAATCTTAAACTTTCAAAACTTTCGAAGTTCTATTAAACACTGATGATATATTGCCTAAATTTAAAGCTTTTCTCATAATTTTTGCAAATGAAGATTTAATTGTTCATGCATACTTTTATTGTTTTTTCTTTTTAAATTGGTACCGTTCTGTTCCAGAAAATTTCAGAAAAAAATTCAAAGAAGCCCTCAGTTTCTTCGATTCTTATGAAATATACCGGTTGTTCAAGGTAGTTAGCCACAAACCAACGCTTTCTCGGTCTTAAGCTGATTGTTCCTATTTGACATTAGTTGAACATAGGCTCTACGGACATTATTTTTCTCCGAACCAACTTCACCAACCAAAGCAACCCGGAAATAAGCCAACCGACTTGAAGAACTTACTGAAATTATTCCAAATCTTTTAAGTTTGCCACCGAATTCTATACCTGATCTCATAATACAATATGAAGGAATATTATGTCCAAATCATGTTGGAGGCTCACCATGGAATCCAAGAGCGGATCTAACCAACGGTCAACTTCAAGCAATACAGACTAATGTTAGCAGCTAAGTATTCACACCCTGACCACTCAGCAATTTTATACGATGGAAACACCACCTTTAAAGTCCACATCTGATAAGGATTTCCCGGAGGATTGTTCTCCTGATGATGCGACTTCGATTTTGGGCTCTGACGATGAAGGGTTAGAACTGGATGATGGGAAATCCATTATACTATATGTTCGACAGTGACTACCACTACCACCACCGACCCAGTAAGCCCAATAAAACAGGTGACAATAAAAGTCTGCGGTGCAAATTTCATATTTTTATTTCACGAAAAAGTAATAGTAGGTTAACCCATATTTTAATTAGCACATAAAAATAGTAACAATGAGTCGATATGTACGTTAATTCATATTTGATCCAGTTTATATTTAAGTTGATTCGTGCATTGGACGTCAAAATTATACATTACTTGTACGTACAAAAGTTTTTAATCAAATAACTGAAAATAGGTTTCGAGCACTATGTACTAACTGACAGAAATTGATTGTAAAACATTAAGATATCAATCTCATTTCGATTCAATGTCACGTGAAAATCTGAGGTATGGCAAGAACATGTACATGCGCTTAGTAAAAAATCTAAGTGATAATCTTGTAACACGTTGATATCTTAAAATCCAAAAAAAAAAACGTGTATGTCGAAGCAAGATGCTGAGTAGTAAGAGAAATTATTCATCCACGACGGATAATGTTATCGGGATGACTCATTACATTCAGTTTCTAATATGTTGGGGATATCCTCACTCTCCAAAAGATCTACAGTAATGGATTACTTAAACTTTTTCGTCACTATGAAATGTCGATTAAATTTACAGATATAGAGGTATACAAATCCAGAAATGTTGCATTCCATATAAGAACAAAAATAAAGCATCACACGAAAGATCAAACAAAGAGTTGGAATTACCGTGGACAAATGAGTAAAGAAGTGAAACAATATGAATTCAAATATAAATGGCATTGATGTATATATCTGAGCGAATCTTACACAAAATTATGACTTAGAATAATTTTAGAGCAAAAATTTTTTTGAAAAAAGTCATTAAAACATATCAGCATTACATATTCAATATAAACATCAGCATTACATATTCAATATAAAGTAAAAAATCACAAAAATAAACTGCCCGTAGGAAAAAGTCACTTCTCCATATTTCTGTCCAAAAACACTAGAGGAAAAGCATTTAATCTTACATTTAAATGAATAGATGAGAAAAAAAATGTATAACACTACTGCTTAGCAATTCTTATCTGATTTTACCTGGTGCAAAAGTTCGGCTACCCTGCGTAAACTGACTGCTGGACACCATTTTCTGCCCGTAATACTTCCTTGCAGTTGCACGTGCAAAGTATCCAGTATCTACAAAATGTTACTTCTGATAAATTCAATTTCTATATCGCCTTAAGTTTAGAATGAAAATTTCCAATATTTTTTAGCGAGAACTGAATTGATTAACGGAATCATTGTTCCCACTCGTGAAAATTGTTTTCGAGCAAGATTATAAGTAGCAATTTACTCTTGATGTTTTGCAATTCCCGCTTTTAGAATTTCTATGAAAATTTGAACGTATTTCAGAGATAAAGATAAAGAAAAAGAAATGACGAAATTCTGACCCAAAAGAAGTATGGAATTCGACAGCTTTATTAATTAGAAAAAATAGATAATCATAGTTACATTGGGAAAATTAATTTGGCCAAACTTTTACCACAAAAGACTTTCTTCCATACTGTGAAAAATATTCTTGAGGTTGTTCTCGAGGAATTTTTCTGTACCCATAATTAAATGATTCAAATTTACTTTAGCACTTCGAGAATAAATGAGTTTCACTACTTTATGAATAAATTTTAGCGTTCTGAATACATCAAACGAATTTTTTTTTTTTGAAAAAAAATGAATAAAAACAAAAAACGGGAAAAAGCGAACGTACTCGGACTACGTCTTCCTCATTCGCTTTGTTATTACATTTTTTTAAAGCATCCGTCATCGTGTCCAATGTTGTGTTGGGTAAATTCGGCAACTCACATATCACTTTAGCTAGACATTCCAACGGGACCAATGAAATCTCACAACAAATGACTGAAAAATAACAGATAAGAAACTGATTACAATAAAAATAAAGAACAGAAAATATTTTCATGGATTTTCAAGCAAAAACAGAATGCGCTATTTGCGATTACAGGATTTTACTATTTCGGGATCATTATTTAGGATGCACTTGTAGCTTCACAGCAGAAGCATTAAGAACAGGAAGCAATACTTGTCTTGTTCTATCTGACTTCCCAGAAACTCCATGCCAAACATTTCCTACCGTGATTCAACTACTCATCCTGTAAGTGCCTTTTCTGACAGAACTGGGAATAATCCTCCAAGTCTTATATTTTAAAAACAACCCAGAAGACACTTCAAAAAACACCTGCAAGACGGAGGAGTACTTCTCCGAGATTTTTCGTGTATTCTGAAGGCAATGTAACCAATCCTCCAAAATCTATGTATATACAAAGAAATTGGAATGTTGATATTATCACTTTCTTAAAATCATCTGAGCTTTCTTCACAGTTATGATAATATTCGCATGTGCAAACTGCAGATTCCCGTAGTGTTCCACATAATATTGTTGCCCTGGAAATCAATTTCTTTATGTAAAACTGCTTTGCATGCCGTACATGCCTGTAACCTGAAAATCATTAGATGACCTTGAAATGGAAGAAAACTGCGAAAAAATGAAAAGTGCGAAATTATGTAATTATGCAGTGTAAATTCTTAATTACACACAACCACAGATTAAGGTTTTTTATTCGAAACCTGCAAATCAATATGAAAATACATATTAACAATACACAATCAATAAAAAGCTTACTTATCATCCGATAAAATGTTGGCATATTCACCGCAACATGCAAAGTGACAATGAAGACGTCCATGAACGAATGCTTCTTTAATAGATGTCTGCAAGTGAGTTACACATTTATGATTAATTGCCTTTGTCAGTAATCCTCTACTGGGTACTTTACCTATCGAGGAAAGACCTTTATCTTGCCCTGAAACATACTGCATTAAGATGTAAACTGAGTTTTATTTCTTGCCAAAGACTGATAGAAAATCCTTGAGAGAGAGAGAGAGGAACCTACGATGTAACGACTTGCTACAATGCAAAGATTTATAATTCAACAAATCCAAAAATGTAGAAATATAATGAATTTGGAGAAAAAAAATACTTGTTTGTGGAAGACTTCTCGCAATCGTATAGAAGACAGAGAAGATAATAACAACAAAAAATCCGGATCGCTTTCAAACCACTGACTACCAATCAGAGAAATCAATTCATCTGATAATTCAAATAATACTGGTAAATACTGATCAAGAAATGTTTCTTCCGATGTACTGGGTGCAGGCTGCGCTGCAAAATTATGAAAAATATGACAGCAACAATAATCAGTGACAATACAACTTCCCCATTTTGTGAATAAAATCCTGGAAAATTCTTGCCATAAAAGCAAATTAAAATTATCGACAATACAAACCGATGGCTGGAGTCTGCAGCAGACGCCTGATAACAATGCGAAAATTAATAGACCAGTTCTTCTGCATTAATCTTTTGCCAGTGAATACTTCAGTTTTCTCTTCAATAAGCGATAACAGTTCAGTACTTACTCGCAGTAAATTTAGCGAAGGTAACTGAAAATCAAATTTGATAATTCATTCGATATGAAAAGACAAAAAGTGACTATGAAACGTACAATTGCGGAGGACAAAATCGCAGCACTTACTGTTCAAAACTAAATAAAACGTATACAGCGGACAGCACTTCTACTCTTTAAAAATTTATAATTATGGATGAATATATTTTCTCAAATTGACAATGCATTAATCAACAATATCTTACCTCATTTTCCTTTTTTAGGCATATGCTGGTGACATCCATAATTTCATCGATTTGATTCATATCCAATTCCTTGACAAGGCTTAACAATTCTTTGTATGCAAAAAGATGAACAGCCAGTTGGTCTCCATTCCAAGCCCTGAAAAAACTTTATTAATAAAAAGACTTATCTAAAAAATTTCTTATTTTTTCTCATAATATTTTAGTAGCAGAAAAATTAATAGACTATGTTTCAGCAAATTTTTTGTATAAATTTTGAGTACGTTAAATATGAATCATGAAATGTACTTCTGACTAATGATTAAGTTGTACACCGAAGACATTCCTGCGAAAATTGCCGATTAGTTCAATCGATGAAGTCTGAAAGAGAAGCATAACTATAACAGTAAACATAAATTCTTCACACGCTAGTCAAAATATTTCAAATCTTCCCCTGAAAAGTGAGAAATGTATCACTGAAATGTGATCTGAAATACATCCCTTTGAATGTAGAAGGTAAGCACATGAAAGGAAAGACAACACGTGTGATGTACGATAAAAATGAGTGCTATTTTTCACATAATCAAAACTCTTCGCACTCCAATCCCCGACACTCCCTCCATTCAGCTCTCCCAAATAAACATCCAACAACAAAGCAAACCCCAGAGCATTCGTGACATCTGTCCCTCAACCTTTCAAGCGGATGCGCTATGAAAACATCTTGGTCCCACGGTTATTTGGCCAAGAAATAAGATAGTTTTGGATCACAGTTTGTCTTCATTTGACATCTGCAGAATAATGAATGAAGTTGCGGGATAATTAAGAGCGTTGAAGAAATTCCGTAATTAAGAGATGATAATAAAGCGAAAATAACTGCAATTTCGATTCCATGTTTTTTAACACATTTCAAAAAAATCTACAATAATGCATATACTAAGAGGGCAAAACTTCAAATTTAATATTATTCATATGACTTTCTCATATCAATTCATTTACTATTATTAATTAATTTTAACAATTTAGTAAAAATTTGCATTAATTAACGAAATAATATGAAGATTGGATTGAATGATTTAATAAAAACTTCATCATTTTTATTAAACAAAAAACCATCTTATTATGCTGAAGAGAAATCATTGTTGTCACATTATATTAATATACATTGGTGGATATAATTTGTAGAGATCGCTAAAAGTTCAATAAAGCCATTTTTAAATGGATTAAACAATGTCTTACTGTATCGATCATCTCGGCAGCCGAAGATGAAAAGAATTCCTCCTTGTAATGTAATAATAGTTATGTTTAGGTGGAACATTATTTTTGATGCATTCTCTATTTAATCTCTCAAATTACTCCGAGTATTTTTTAAATTATGATGAACAGTTCTGGAAATTAATGGCATATTTTTAAACAAATGAAAAAAATAGAGTAATCCCTGCAATGGTATTTATGTAATATATTGTATCATTGAAAGAAAATCTCTTTTCAAAATCTTTCAAGACAGTCTTTATTTGAAAAAGAATTAAATATACAACCATACAAAGTTATTGTAGAGATCAAATACAAACTTGTTATTAATAAAATTAATTAAATTCAATCGGGAAATGATAGTTTGTTTATCTTACAAAACCATTAACTACGAATGGTCCAACAGATTGTTTTCGTCGTCCACCAAAAAGGCATTTGCAATATCGAACTGCGACAAGTTGAAAATCTTTTTGACGATATAAAAAGAACATTACCAAGTTGAAGGAATTGAATAAACGTAAATATACGAAGCACATCATAATGATTTGTGACGTTACAGAAGAATTCATTCCGAAGATACGTTCCATTACGGAGGATACCACGACAAGAACTGTAAAAATGAGATAAGAAAATGAAACAATAAAAGAGAAAATTACTTATTAAATTCACCAATAAATATGTCAAAGCTTATGCATTATCTTTTCTACAAGTGCACGATCATATGGATGCTGAAAAGATCGTTGATCAAATTTTTATTCTAAAATCACAAAATAGTTTTAAATAGTTTTACCACTGAAAGAATTTCGTCGTTAGAACTATTTATAGAAATCGAAATACATACAAAATGTAAAACAACAAGAGATCATTGCCGTTTGGGTATATCGCTTTTGATTTTTGAGAAATTGTGACAAAGTGCCGTTGTTTGCATTATTCGAAAGGAATTGCCCACAAAAATTCCTAAGTGTAATGATAAATATATGATTGAAATTTCATTAATATATGAATTTGATTTTAATAACATTTCACCTCCATAAAAGGGTGTAAAGAAATAAGAGTTCATAACATAGATGAATGTATTCTTCTTCTGTCATCGTATATTTTGTTTATCTTACATCTTTCCCGAAGG